AATCAGATGAAACAGATGATCTTTTTTATTTTACATTTTCCAAGACCGACGAATCGCCACGAAGGAAATACATACATGTTTTTTCAACGAAGTGTAACTACATAGTTTCCATGTGAAAATATACATTATACAATTTGTTTAAACAGGAATTCGACGTTTTACGCAGGTTGGTAAAAGAAAAATATATATATATATTTTTTTTTCGGCGATTTTTCCCAACAATCGTTTCCTTTATCGCAGGTATTTTCGCCTGAATTTATCAAGTAACAGCCGAATAAAGTTCCGATCTTTCGGCGAACCCTGTATTTCAAATTATGCGCTTCAGTAATCGTCAATCGATTTACTATTCGTGCCCAATCGTTGTACAGCCAGAATTGTCGTAGTTGCGCTTTCGACCAGGGAATAGTATTCAGACATTCTAGGTCATGAATGCACGATCGTTTTCCAGTTTCTGACATTCCTTTTTTCACATTCGCTCTTTCAACTCCATCGAATATTCCATTTTACAATGCTGGGAAATAAAAACAACGGACGTTCGAAGAAATATGCAACGGCATATAATTATGAAAGATACTTGAAAAACTTCGTGCAAAGGAGAGATAGCGAGAGAATGTTTTAACTCCAGAGAATTTTCATTTTCCTCGAATTTAGCAAACTTTTGGAAGTGACGTGGTGTAAAGTAATTACTCGCGCGAGTTGTTTAACAAAAATCTATTTATTTGAATCCGATAACGCTTAACCTAATTTTGAAGTGTAGGCGACGCGACTCTACGACAAAAGGCCTCGTGCCTTTTTCGGGGCTCCCTTAACACGTTGACTGCCATGGGGGTCACCGGTGACCGGCACTCGACTTGGCTGCAGCGCCGTGGGGGTCACCGGTGACCGGCAACGCATAATAAAAAATTCAGGTTGGCGCCATGGGCAAACCACGTAAAATGCGCGCGGCAGTCAACGTGTTAAGTAGCCCCTTTTCCCTGGGAAGGTCCCAGGAAGTGAATGCGCGGGCCTGCATTGCCGGGGCCAATACTCTTGTCCTCGAGGACGAAGAAACTCGGAGATGTTTGGAAAAACATCTCTCGATTCTTCGCCTCGAGGGCCAAGAGTCGCTGGGCCTAAGTGCGTGGCCCCCCGTGGCGGTCGCCACAAACTTAATTAGCAAAACTGAAAATCTTCGAATTTATGAATTAATTGGCAAAAGTAAGAAATTGTGAAAATAGTGGAATTATTTACTCAGATTAAATACGATTAAAATATTCACCTTCGTTATCGATTTGCAAAGAGGTAAGTTACTTTTGATCTGTGGAAATATTAAAAGTACCATTCCTCTTTATCTCAGCGATATGTAAATTTTCAACCGTAATAATACGTCGAACGATGATTTTAATATTCAGAAGATTCTCGGAGGGCTCATTAGTTTACTTGAAATTTCTCTTCTGTTCACGGTTGAAAGTCTCGCAAGATGTTTCGCCACTCTTTACATTAATGTACGAAGACACAAAATTACCTAGAGTATTGCCAAACAAACCGAGCTTCCCCGGGCAAGGCAAAGCAATCAAACTAATTGGCAATTTTCTCTGAAGTCGATCCTCTCGTCGGTATTTCACGGTCAGCGTTCTCCGTTTTCTCTCTTTCAGCAACAGAAATCGTGTATTTAAGCGGCAACTAATGGACCGTTTATTGACCGAAACACTTTTCGTTCGGTCGATCGTTGCACAAATTCGATTATCGTTCTTCTCCACTTGATTATCAGCAATTTCCTCCCGCGTGTTTCGACTTATTCAATAAACATCGATCGGTGCCCGTAATAACGTTTATCAATAGTATTCTTTAGACGAAGCTTTAAACGCTGATAAAAAAAATTCTATCGTATGTTCTAGTTAGCTTAAAGAAATTATTCCTTTTTCGATACTTTCTGCAAAAATATATAATTAATTTCACGTTTGATTGATTAAATCTTGCAATATTTAATTCGCAAATACTTCAAAAATTTATCTATTTTTCGGAAATTTTTTCATACCGTATTTTCTTCTTAACGAAAAGAAGAAAATGATTTTTTCCATTAAGACAAAGCTTTAAAAGCTGACAAATAATCAAAAATTCTATCGTACATTCTAGTAACCTTAAGGAAATTATTTCTTTTTCAATATTTCCTGCAAAAATATATAATTAATTTCACGTTTGATTGATTAAATCTTGCAATATTTAATTCGCAAATACTTCAAAAATTTATCTATTTTTCATAAATATTTTCATTTTATATTTTCTTCTTAACGAAAAAGAAGAGAACGATTTTTCCATTTTATATCTTCTCTTCTTAACAGCGCGAATGAATCCAAGTGGACGAAATTTCAATTGCGTTTTGCAAATAGAAAATTTCCTATCGAGCTGAATAGAGCGAGGTTTATCATTCTCGCCTAATTATCAGCCCTTTGTTTCTCCCACGTCCCCTTGGCTGCCTTATCTTGTAAAGTATCGGTGTAAGTAACGCCTCAATGCACAAAATGTATCAGCCTCGAGTACTTACAGAGGGAGAAGTAATTGGCAATTTTCTCGTAAATCGCTGACCCTGCCTCAAAGAACGCTGTCCGCGGTAAGTGAATAATAGACCACTTACCGATAAACTAGTCACACGTTACACGCTTTGGAACTATATAAAAAGATAATTAACCGTATCGTCATTTAATTAATTTCCACGTCAGTTCAGTTTAAACACTCTCGACATTTTCCATTATCTTACAAAATTAACCGCGGCACCGGCGATCGATAATATTCGACAGAATTCTCCTCGATTAATATTTTCACGGTGCCTCTTTCTCCCTCTAACCCTTTATCGTCTATCTATCCGTGTTTTTATATTTTCACATCGTACTATTCCACTATTACCAGTCAGTTTCTTCGCAACAATTGTTAATTCTCGCTTTTTAATTAATTCGCCTTTTAATTTCTCGCTTCTCATTATAAATTCTAAAAATTCTAAGTTTTTTTCTCATAAACGAAGAAAAATTATTCTGACTTAATTAATTTTCCATCAAATCTCAGAACCTTCGCTACCGATATTTGACCATATTCGACAATACGTCGCTATTTTCGTGATCTCAAAAATTCTCCCGCACAAGTGCAATCTTTTCTCCGCAACAGCCGCGGATAAATTAGCATTTCTTTCGAATTGCACCGAACCGAAATCCGTTTACCTTTCTTTCCACTCCCCCTTTCTTTGTAAACCATTTCTTTCACGTCGCTCTACCTTTATCACCTGTATATATAGGACTGCGTAATTCACGGTAATCCCCGCAGTAATGTCCGATAACCTTAAGTATCACAAAAGCTTTTCGGAGAACGAATGAAACGTGAAAGCTTACCGGCGTTGTCTGCATAAATAGCCTTAGAAAACAGCAATTATTCGGGGATCGTGAACAAGCTGGAGAGAGAGGTGTTTCCTATTTTCGCCTAGGACGAGAGGATCCTCTGATGGAAAATTTGCGACGCGTAGTGGTCACGGTTGAAAAATCTCCACGGAAAAGATTCTCTTCGCTGAAACATCAAACCTCTGTTTTCCACGATACACGCTTCTTCGAAAGGCTACATCTATTATCGTTAAAGATGTAAGCGATCGATTTAGCAGAAGCGTGGTGCAACTTCCGCGAAAACCTTTTTCACCAACAATCGATATCTCTAACGGCGTAGAAATGAATTGCTGTCGTTAAAACCAGCCTTATTTTCTTTCGATGCACTTCATATTTCTGGACATCTGTTGCACGATAGAACGTTTCTGTCTCTTCTTGTAGCAATTCGTAGTTAAATTATTTCAAACGTAGTGATCAATTTTTTGGAACTTTTCGTTTCTCATTTCAGTGTCTTTTTCTTTCGGCACTGTTGGAGGGATGCGTAATAAAGTGGAATGCAATTTCAGTGCATAGTGACCTGAAAGAGATTTAAATTGATTATCCACGACGGTTTAATTATATCAGGCGGAAGGAAAGCCTTGGAAAGAATTTCGCAGCGCGATATTTAAAAGGATGCAGGCAGAATGCATTTAAAGCACCGAATTTTCAGGCAGCGGAAAAGGAGCGCGAATGTCGGCGAAATCCTTAGATTTGACTTGCAGCGGCGGCCTCTAGTCACGATTCGATCACCGTTCAAATGTCATTTACTACATCGAAACGTGACTTGAACCGTGAACACTGTCGTACTTTGGCTGATTCAGGGGAACACTAAACTGTGATTGAAGTGACTCCTGCAAACGATTCGATCGTTGATTATAGTTCAATTAAGGTTTAACATAACGTAGCAAACGATGCGAAGTTAAATTGTCGCCAATGTGTGAATGCATCTTCCGATAAGTGGACAATTTGTCGTTTTCTCTCGTTTTTTTTTTTTTTTTAACAGTGATCTCTGTTTGAAACCGAATTTTGAGTCGAGTAATTTCAGCGAATATATTTAAGTAATTTTGCACAATTTTCTTTGCTACTCTCGATTGAATTCGTTTGTTGTTCTGTCCCATCCAAATGTTACGTGAGAATTCTGCTCACGTCAGTTGCAACGTTTTGTTGATCACATTCCATCGGTTCCTCGTTTCGATACCGCGGAACATGATCGTGCATTCTTCCCTTTGTTCTATTGGTGTACGCTATTGGTGTGATTTTTGAAAGCGTAAAAACATTACGTTTGCCTGTTACCTGAGGTTTATTTTCTGCTCGGATCGTACATATGTAGATATCGATTCCGTTTCATTGAATTCTTCTACTTTGTGTGCTCGAATCGAATGGAAACATTTGAATATACACGACTGCGGAAAAATTGTGGAAAAATTACGGTGAACAGGTATGAATCTAATAGAGTGCGCGTATGATTTTCAAATATTTACAGAACCGGATGATTTTTATCGTCACTGTTAATATACCATCTTGATTCGACGTAAATTGTGTAAATTTCAATTTTCTTTGTTGAAAATTTGTTAATAAAATTGTTTAATTAATCATTGACTGTATTTCTGATTTCAGGGACTACTACTATGACAGGTGAGTGTCAATTCAATGGCGGCACGTTATTTTGCTGAACAATCAGGTATTGTAGCGGATAAATTAATTGTTTGAATTATTTATAAGTTAAAATTTAATTCATCTTCAAAACATAATTGTGTAAAACTTAAATATTTCAAATATCATTGTTTGTTAATGTGAATGCTTAGGAGCGGCTTTACCATCGAATCGGCTTTACCAAATAATTCTAATTACCAATTTATTCAAAATCTACATTTTCCATTATTTTCAAAATACCGTGATATATGTTTGTCTGAGGTGCCGAACAAAGATATACTAAATAATATTATATATTCTTAATAAGATTGCATTACATCGCAGCGCGTTGGAAAAGCTTGATCTGTGTTAGAACAATTGAAAATCGGAAGCGCCTCCAAGGCGGCGTTGACCGATTGCGAGCAGGGCTTCGCCTTTACCGACGGATTTACAGCAATATAAATCTGGAATAATTTTCTATCACAAATTGTTTTACATTTCAACAGTATAATTGCTAATTCAAAAGTGTGCATTATTCTATCAACTAAAAGCTAGAAAAGAAACAGGAAGAAAACTTCCCCACCGAAATAATCGCAGCAGGGAAATAATTTTTTCATTTGCTAATTGCCGAGGCCGCCGTTGGAAAATTAAGTTAGACCGACTTTCTTCATTCCACAGAGGAAACAGCGTTTCGAAATCTCTCTCTGATGTGTATACGCGTGCGTGTGCGCGTGGGGTGGTCCGCTTTGGTCACGGTGTGCGCGTGCAGTTTTGAAAAGCAGACACATAATTTGCCGTCGATGCTGGAATTATAACTACCAGACCGTAAATCACAATTATTATCTCGGACCGTTTCCCGAATGTTTTACTTCTGCCTCGTGTACGCGATACGCAAGAGAAATATCAGCAACAATATTGAAGTTTATTAATTTACTTTAGCGTATCGTTTCGCGTTGATGCATGAACGCATTTATTACCTTCTGGCATCGATTTAAATCGCTGGCAATTCAAAATTCCGCCCGCGATACTTTGAACCGAATTTTCCACAGGCCAGAGTCAACCCTCTTTCCATCGATAATCGTCGCGGGGGAAAAACGGAACAAAAAAATATATATATATGTGTGTGTTCGTTTCAAATTTCATACGTCGACGCGTCGCTTTATATTTTTCCACCCTTTCCCTCCCCCTCTTTGTGGAATAATTGTGTTTTTGTCGCGCGTGTTTCGCCGCTGCGAAATTATCGATTCCGCGATCGATACTTTGCGAACGTTAATTGGCCGATCGTTGAAAAATGCGAAAATTGGAAACGTTCGGACGTGAAATCGTAAGATGAAGTGTGCAAGCTTTGTTCGTAATTTCGCGCGTCTTTACTTTTAACGCGTTAGCTTTCTGCGAGGAAAGAAAACCAGGTCAAACATCCCCTAACCCTTCTTAGCCTTCTTTCATAAATTTGAATATTTATTTTGCGAAAAATGAAACAAAATTTTTTTTGTTCTTATAAATTTTTTATTTTTCAAACAGAATTCACTCTCTAAAAAGAAATATCGCAGTGTTTAGTCGATAGTGTCGTCGAGATTTCGCGAACAAAGGCACCGAATTAATTTCTACGTACAG